CCTAGATGCTCCAAAAGGAATTAACACTTCTGGCATCTTGGGTTTAACAGACAGACTGATTTGGATATTTTAACTATAAGAGAATAAACTTCTCTTTTCTTAAACCACAAAGTTCATAGCAATTTGTTAAAGCAGCAATCAGGAATTTGCACAGGCAAACAGAATATAAATATAAATATAAATATTTATTTATATCAATATATAACGCATGAATATATATTATTTATATTATTTGTATTTATATATTAATATATTGATATTATTTACATATTAATATATTGTATTGTTCACATTTAAATATATATATATAAACATTGCCTTCTTCTCACTCTTGAAAGGTGATGCTAGACCATTGGGTGATCAAATAGCAAATGACCACAAATTGACTCTGATTGACTCTAGTCAGAGTAGCATTTTTGGGGAGAAAATTAGTACTTTCTTGAAGTCACTATCACAAAAAAATGCCAATTTACAGGGTCTACAGTCTGATTGCCAAGTGAAATTTTTGAAAAGAGGTGATGTTGGGTCATAAATTGGCATTTAGATTTCAGAGCATAGGTTGAAACTCCACTTTGCCACTGTCTAGCTCTTGGAAATAGAACAAGTTGCCTAACCCCTCTATACCTCTGTTTCTTGATGTGCACCGTGGGGAATGTGTTGGAGACTGGCCCCAATCACAGGCTGTCGGAGGGCAGAACAGGTAGGGTCTTAAGGTGGGAGCAGCGTTGACAGAGATTCCTAGAAGGGTGAAAGAGGAGCAGGTGCGAGGAAGACACGGGAGTCAGAGTTGGGTGCAAGTCTTCCTGCTTTTCTTTTTTGCAGGTCTTTATTTATACTGTTTAGCAAGTATTTAGTTACAATAATGCATCAGGTAACTTAAGAAATTAGCATAAAATTTCTAAAGGAAGAGGGAAACAATGCATCCTCTTCCTGACAATTTATGGCATAATAGACTATACATCTCTGTGATAACTTTCATGTATATGGATGTTTAGCTATGACTTCAAAGGACAAGGGGTCTGGGAAAGGATTAGCTGTTAGCAAGGGATTTAAGAATCTTAGGGAAGGAATAAATTGTTTTAGCAGAGTCATCAGTGATAGTCTAAAGAAAAGCTAATGGCCAACTTAAGTCTAGCAGAGAGTAACTAGTATTTGTTTTAGGGAAAGGTTAATTAAGACTAGCAGAGAGTAGTTAGTGAAAAGTAAATTAAGAAAAGTAAATTAAGAGGAAGTCACAAAGTTATGCATTAAGCAAAACCTGTATCAATAATGTTAGGAAATTATTCATGGGTCCTTATGCCCTGGAGATTTTATCTAAGATTTGCTTTTTGTTTCAAAATACCAAGGAATCTTCCCAGGAGTCTTGATGCTGCGTCCCCACCCCTCCTCCCCCTCCACCCCCCTCAGGTCTTATCTCACCCGGAGCTTGCCTTTTGCCTCCAGACAAAAAAGAATTTCTTGCCCTGGTGAGGCTCATACTTTGTCCCAGCCAGGTAGCCAATTTTTGAAGCTAAGGCAATCCAGTTGCAAACTGATGGTTGGTCAAATATTTTTGATATTACAATTGTACAAAAAAGGGAGGTCATAACATAAGTTAGCAATGGAAATTCTGATTTTACAGAGCCTATCCCTTCCATCCGGATCTTGTCGGGCTACAGAAGTTGTATAGCTTGTGTCAGGGATGGTGTTAACAGCACCTGGCTCCTAAAGTTGCTGCAAAGCTGAAAAGTGCTTTAGAATAATGCCTGGCATGTAATAAAGACACACGCGCCCCTTAGGTATGGTGGAGACAATCTTAGAACATTCCCCAGTATACCCCACCAAGGAAATCCTCTCTCCAAAACATTAAGGGGGTGTTTTACAGGAAGAATGGACAGGTGGTTACAGTACAGGCCAAGCAGCTCTTACTCTATAACCTCATACAGCCTCCCAATCTCACTTCACAGCCACCAACTGCCATATCTACCAAGTCTCTTCAAGGAAGCCACAATACCCTCTCCCCATCTTCTCCAGACTTTCAGCTCCAGCCCTTCTCTCCATCCCTCCAACAGAAATCAAAATCTATGCTAGATCTACCAACTAATCCACTCCCATCAATGCAGATCACCCCACTTCATGAACAGAGAACTGGCCATTGCCAGCACCCACTTTCCTTTCTTATTTTTATTAAGGGTATAATTGTAACTTGGGTGTCTTCTCACCACTTTCCTTTTTGAGGGTTTTTCTCCCCATTTTTACTTTTCTTGCAAGAAGAACAGGGCTTGAAAAAGTAAAATAATAAAACAAAAACACCCAAACCCAGCTCTTAAATAGAAAAAAAAAGATTTTTCACAAGCTGACAAGTTGTGCTTCAGATTACACATCCACGAGCATATACCCTATCCTTGGATGAGTTTTCACTGCATGGAACAAGAACTACCATAGGAAAAGGGAACCAAGATGTCCAGTTCATGGTTAAACTGACGTTAAAAGTGACAGGTATGGCCCTCCCTGGTGGCGCAGCGGGTTAAAGCACTGCACTGAGAAGCTAAGGCCATTTCCGCATGAGTTCGATTCCCGCCTGCCCCAGAGATGAACACATGGCGAGGCGGAACCTCTCCTGACCCGCCCACTGCTCCCCTCAGCAGTGTACTTCATTGATCTGCCTGTTCTGCTCCCCTCTCTGTCTCTGGTGAATCCTCTCACCCTCCACATCTCTGGCCTGTACCCCAGTTCCATATGAATAAATAATCTTTAAAAAATAATAATAATAATAATAAAGTGACAGGTACTTAGGATCCTTTGCAGTTCGGATCCAAATTCTAGTTGCTCCAGAGAGCAACCAAGCAGAAGCTGTCAACTTGCATTTTTCTATATATTCTTTGTTTTCCAATTCCTAAATACCACTGAAAGCCCCATCTTTGAGGAGACTGATCTCAAAAGTCTGTGATATGGTGAGTGGCTTCTGTGCCATTGAGTATCAGTTCTATGTTCATCAACATCACTGATAACACAAAAATAACTTCACACATTTGGTGAACAGAGGGTATATACCACACACCTGGGACATCATCATCACCACAACCAAGGTAACAAGTACATCCATCACCTCCAAGAATGCCCTTGTGTCCTTCATGAATATTTTTTTCCTTTTAGAAGAATAATTAATATGGAATCAATCCTTTTAACATATTTTTTAAAGATGTATTTATTTATGCATACAAAACTGGGGTACAGGCCAGAGGTGCAGGGGTGGTGAGAGGATTCAGCAGAGACAGAGTGGGGAGCAGAATAGGCAGACCAACGAAGTACACTGCTGAGGGGAGCAGTGGGTGGGTCAGGAGCGGTCTGCTGCACCATGTGGGTCACCTCCAGGGCTGGGGAACCAACTCAGACTGAAGCCGCTGCAGCAGTTAGCAGTGCTGCGTCCCAACCTGTTGTGCCACCAGAGAGGTCTCCCTTTTAACATATTTTGAAGTGCACCAAAACTTAGTGTTAACTCTGTTTTATAGCTGACCCCTGGAACTTATTCATCTTACATTGAAAAAATCCCTATTTCCTCCTCTCCCTAGCTGCTGGGGAGAATCCTTCTATTCTCTGCTTCTGTGAGTTCGACTGTTTCAGATACCACTAAGTGGAATCACGCTGTATCTGTCCTCCTGTGTCCAACTTATGTCATGTATGGTAATGTCTTCCAGGTTCATCCATGCTGTCACAAAGGCAGGATTTCCTTCCTTTTTAGGGTTGAATGATATTCCACTCTACCTATATACAATATTTTCTTTTTCTGCAGGGCTTTGGGGGTAAACAAAGTTGCAAATAGTTACTTGCCACCAGCTATAAAATTTCAACCAGTGGGCCCTCCCTGGTGGCGCAGCGGGTTAAAGCACAGCACTGAAAATCTAAAGCCGCTTCCGCATGAGTTCGATTCCCGCCTGCCCTGGAGGTGACCACATGGCGTGGCAGACCTCTCCTGACCCGCCCGCTGCTCCCCTCAGCAGTGGACTTCGTCGATCTGCCTGTTCTGCTCCCCACTCTGTCTCTGGTGAAGCCTCTCACCGCCCCTGAGCCTCTGGCCTGTGCCCCAGTTCTGTGTGCACAAATAAATAAATCTTTAAAAAAAAAAAATTTCAACCAGTGTTCACTAGAAGAGCCTTATAGGTTATGCATATTGAAATAGTTCCACTTCCTCTGTAACTAACACTCTTGCCAATCTGAACCTCAGGGACTCCCCCACCTAAGAATTAAATTCGAGGTGCATCAGAGAGGATGCCTTGTGTCCACTTTGGTTGATCTAAACTATGCCAGTTGTTAAATATTTTGAAAACTGTCCTTGCAAATGACAAAGAATTCTAGATGTTAGTATATAAGAGGAAAAATGGCAAGAAGGTAAGGAGAAAACTAGCTATCACAACGGCTTAAGACTTATCAGCAGGGCACTCCCTGGTGGCACAACAGGTTAAACAGCAGCACTGCAAAGCTAGTTGCAGCTGCTTCAGCTCCAGTTAGATACCTGGCCAGGGAACTGACCCACATGGCACAGCAGATTTCTGTCTCGCCCGCTGCTCCCCTTAGCAGTGTACTTCATCAATCTGCCTGTTCTGCTCCCCACTCTGTCACTGGTGAATCTTCTCACCACCCCTGCACCTCTGGCCTGTACCCCAATTCTGAATGCATAAATAAAATCTTTTAAAAAAATTTATCGAGAAAGGGAGAGAAAAGCCCCCATCTAACCGTCAGTTTAAGGTCTTTATAGAAGCAGAAACAGCTGCCTCCAACACCAGGTGGTGGGAAGAGAAAAGAACACTTAACCAGAAACAATGCAGCCAGGGAAGAAAACCAGAAACTCCTAGATTCCCAAATCACAGAAACCGTGAAAAATGATCAAATGGATGCTGTTTTAAGCCACTGCATTTTTGTGGTAGTTTCTTGCACAGTAATAGACAGCTGGTAAGCAGCCCTTGGGAAATCTAGGGTCTTTCCTTCATTTTTTGTTTTTCCCTTTTCCTTCCTTATTCTAGGGCTCTGCATTCTGCTGATTTTGTTGGACTTCATGGCTCAGAATCCCCAAGGTACGTGCTCAAAGCCCGCTCTCCCAGAGACCATTAGGTCATGAACCCAGGATGCAACTGGGACCACCCACATCTTCCAAGAGACTGGAGAAAGGGGAGTGGTTTTAGGAACAAAATTTGGCTTGCTTTCATAAATTTTTTTAATTGACCACCCCATCAAATTTAGACATCTTTTTATCTTATTTGTCTATTTGTTTTTAGTAACCATGATCAGTGCACTGTGGAGATAGAACAGTGAATAAAACAAATAAGACCTCATGAAGTTAACTTTCTAGAGGGAAAAGACAGAATTTACAAAGAGGGGATGAGTTAAGATCTTGGACCTTGAATTCCAGTTCGGCTTCCCCACTTACTAGCTGTGTTTCTTTTTACAAGTGTCTTAATCTCTCTGTGCCTTAGTTCCCTTATCTATCAAATGGTAATTCACTCATAATTATGGCTTACCCATCTTACTCTGGCCATAAGTGGTCAGCAAAAGATGAACAAAATCATTACCATTTAACTTTAATCCCTTGGCATTCTCACTGGATTCTGATTCAGCAGGTCTAGCGTGTGTGTGTGCAACCAGATTGTATATGTGTAATCAGCTGCCAGGGGCACATTCTAAGGAACCAGAGTCTGCACAGTGCTCCCCCATCAATTTCTTTAGCATCCATGGGCCCTGAAATGTTTCTATATCGCTCCACTAGACCCAAAGTTTGAGATATCCCCTCAACCTCATTATTTCCATTTATCCCAAAAGAGATAAATCAAATTAAGATTTTAGTGTATCTTCTCTGTCTACATGAAGTAATACATAGAGTTGCAAAGATAACCTATACCATTATCAGTATATACTTCCTAGGATACCCTACAGATTCAAAATTTCATAATCAAAGCTGCCCCTTATTACATGCCAAACACTACCAAGGCGCTTGATATGTGTTAGCTAATGTCACGTACTCCTCACAGATGAAGGAGTTGAGGCACAGAGGCTATGACATCTGTGCAAAACACACAGCTCATAAGTGGTGGAAGTTGGAACATGGGCCCATGGCCTTTTTTTTAAAGATTGATTGATTGATTGATGCATATAAGAACCAGAGCTGCCGGGTGGGGATGGGGGTGGGGGGAAGAAGATTCACCAGAGACAGAGTGGGGAACAAAACAGAAGGGTCTACTGAAATACACTGTTGAGGGGAACATGGGGCAAGAGAAGAGAGGTCTGTGCTACCATATGTGTGTTAGCTCCACTCAGGTCACAGAGGTGTTAGCACTAACCCCTTAGCCACCAGGGAGCAGGGTCCAAGGTCTTAACCAGCATGTTCCCTCTTATAATGTCTGCAATGGTCTTAAAGATAGCACCATTATATCACACTGAAATTTTAAGTTAAAATTAATTTATTTAAAACCAACCCCAGTCCTTTATCATGCACAGGAACCACACTTTTTTCTGCAACTTGGGTTTAGTCGTTTTTGTTTTTTTTTTTTAAGATTTAACTTATGTACACAGGCACTGGGATGTGGGAGGTGTGAGAGGAGACACCAGCGAGAGAGCCAAGAGGCAGGTCCACTGAAATGCACCCCGAGGGGAGCAGCTGAGAGACAGGAGAGGTCTGCTGTGTCCAGTGAGTTAGCTCTCTTGCCAGCAGGGGGCCAAGAGGATGGATCAACTCATGTTGCAGTGGTTGGTGGTAGTTTAATAGTGTTGTCTTTAACCCTTGGGCCACCAGCGACCTGGGCTGGTATTTTTAATGTATTGAAAGTTCACAAAAAGCAACAGGCTTCCCCAGGCTTAAGAGGTCCTGCTCAGAGGCAAAGCCAAGTGGTAAGAGGGAGTTTTTAACCCTGATGACTCTGGTCCTTCCTCTCTTCTTCCCACAGCTAAGAATCATGTATGTCCCTTAAACGCTTACAGTGTCAATAACACCTACTGCACCTGCAACCCTGGATTCACTTCTGATTCTGGATTCAAATTCTTCAAGTACGAACATGAGAACTGTAAAGGTAAAGGGGTTATTTTTAATTCATACACAGGTGGGAGAGAAGGGAAGGCATTAAGGGATGGGGAGGAAGAGTGCCCCAACATTGCAATACTGAAAAGCATCTACCTACTCAACCTTCACCAAGAAAGACACACTTTCATGAAGTCAGAAAAAGTAGGTTTCTTTTAGGATCTAGCTAGGTCTTGATTTTCTCCTCAGTAGCTTGGGAAAGGATAATGCTGACATGATCATTAAGTCAGCCTAAATTTTTTTAAGTTAAAAAGAAAAATAAATCAAGTATTAAGTCCCAATCCACATTCTTTTGCTAATGGGCCACATTTCATACACTATTTCATTTACTATCACAATGTTAGACTAAAACCACCATTTTTTTTTTCATTAGGAAGAAAAAATATACACTGAATTAATAGAACAAAAAGAATAAAAGGGTGGAAAGAAGTATTTCTAATGTAAATCCTTAAGGTCACCTAAGATGTAAAATGCAGTCCCAGTTTAATTACTCATCAATTTTTCTGTATTCTTGCCTATCTTTTACCCACTAGCTCTTTTCTCTGTTTGTATATGCTTACTGGTTGTGATTTTCTATCCTTATTTTTTTTTAATTTACTCTTCTTGAGACCCTCAGGGATGAAAATTTACTGACTTAAAGGCATTCTAATTCAATTAGTTCATTAAGCAGGTTCATTAGTCTGCTCAGGTTGCTATAGCAAGATTCTGCAGCTGAGTGACTTAAACAACAGAAATGTATTTTCTCACAGTGCTTGAGACTGGAAGTCCATGATCAAGGTCCTGACAGATTCAGTTTCTGGTGAGGTTCTCTTCCTGCCCATAGGTGCCTACCTTCTCACTATAGCTTCACTTTCCCTGCAATAGTATGCAGTCCCAAGGGGTGGGTGGTAGCACTCCAGTCTCATACTATAAGGACAGTAATCCAGTTCAATCAGAGCCCACTCTTATGATCCCATTTAACCTTAGTTAGCTCCTTAGAGCCCTCAGCTCCAGATATACACACAATGGAGTTAAAGCATCAGTACTTGAGTTGAGGTCCATAACAGCAGACAAGGTTGATGTCCCATTTATATGTCTTCACCATTTTGTCATTCCTTTGTATACCAAGTCTGAAATTTTCTGTGGCTTCTGGAGACCGCTCAGCCCATGCTCAAGACACATGGAAGTACTAGAGAGTTAGCACTCCCTGGGAGCAAGCCTCCCCCAATAAACAATGAGGCTTGATGGATAAATATCCGATTTCCCTGTCCCTTCAGCTGAGTGACTCCAAAATATATGGTTGCACTGCCTCTGGGAGTTCCCAGAAGAACTGAGACCCAGTTGCCCACAATGAAAACTTGCTTAACACCCCCTTTATTTCCTGCCCTCTCTCCCCTGTATTATCTCCCCACTTCCTTTCCAGTGTTTTCCAGAATGTAACCCCAAATAAACTCTTGGGCCTGAATCTTTGTCTCAGTGTCTGCTTCTCAGCAATACCAACAAAGGCCATGGAGAAAAGACAGAATAAAGATAGCCATGGACTTAACCAAGTTGTCTTGGGAATCCAGGACAGACAATCCTGTAGGAGCACAGTTGCTGCTACACTTGCTCAACAAATCTTAATGAAACATAAACCAAATTTCTCCTTTGTGTTCCAGATATTGATGAATGTAAACCACCCATTAGTGAAGATTGTGGACCACATGCTGAATGTCAGAATGTGAAAGGAAGTTTCAACTGCAAATGTATCCCTGGATATGAACTCCTTTCTGGAGGTGTACTGTTCAAGAATTCCAGCAGCAACACTTGTAGTAAGAAAATCCCTATCTTATCTCCCTCCCTCATTTTTCGTTGAGTCCAACTCCAGAAAAGATATTTTGTTATTGTGAGCCAGAGACATGTTTCTATTTTCTGGAGGGAAATGAATAGTGGAGGGGGGAAATGAATAGTGGAGGGGGAAGAACAAGTTTAGGGAAAGAATGGGAGTAGGAACTCTCCAGCAGAGTCGGTGGGAATGTGAACTAGTACAACCATTATGGAAAACTGTTTGGAGGTTCCTCAAACTGCTAACATGGAGCTTCCCTATGACCCAGCAATCCCACTCCTAGGTATCTACCCAAAAGACACAAAAACACTGATTCAAAAAGATACCTGCACCCCCATGTTTATTGCTGCTTTATTTACAACTGGAAAAACATGGAAGCAGCCCAACTGCCCAAAAGTAGATGACTGGATTAAAAAGATGTGGTATATATACACAATGGAATATTACTCAGCAACCAAAAAAAAAAAAAGAAACACATGTCTTTTGCAGCAACTTGGATGGAGCTGGAAAAGATCATACTTAGTGAGATAAGCCAGAAAGAAAAAGAAAAATACTGGGTGGTTTCACTCACAGCAGGAGTATAATGGACCAGGCGAGAAAAATAATAAGAATAATGAACAGCCATATACCAGAGACATTTTGTGGGGGTGGAGTGGGGAATGGGATCAAAAAGGGTGGTGGGGGGAAGGAAGTGCATAGGACTATGGTGATGGCACATGGGTGACTTGGTGATGGGAAACCCATGGGGATTACAATTGAGATGAAAAAAATGATGTAAAAATAAACTATTATATTATATATATATAAAAAGAATGGGAGTAGGAAGGCTAGAGGAGTTTGAAGATGACATGATGGTGATTGAGACAGGATGCTTTGCAAATTAAAAATGGATCTGCCATATGACCCAGTAATTCCACTTCTAAGCACCTAACTAAAAAAATCAAAAATAATAATCCAAAGGGAAATTTGCACTCTTATGATTATTGCAGCATTGTTTACAACAGCCAAACTATGGACACAGCCTAACCCAAGGACAGATGAGTAGATAAAGAATATGTGGTGTATATACACAATGGAACATTATTCCACAATCAAAAAAAAAAAAAAAACTCATGACATTTGCAGGAAAATAGAGCTGGAAGAAATAACGCTAAGTAAAGTAAGTTAGGAGAAAGATAAATACCAAACAGTGTCACTTATATATGGAATATAAAGAAACTAAACTAAAGGTCAGATAAAGACAAGTTTAAAAACTAACCCCTACAAGCTGACATTAGAAGTGAAGCATCCAGACAGAGGAGTGGGTGGGTGAGGCGTGTGAACAAAATGAAGGAAGCACAATGGACTATGGTGATGGACAATGCTGACTTAGTGGTGGATGCACTATAGTGGTAATACCTGAGTGGGGGGGTTTATACTTCCAAAATACCAACAATAATGTAAAATGATGTAACCTAAATTTTTTAATTAGTTACTTTTTATTTTTTAATGTAATTTATTTATATATATTTTACATTGTCATTCATGTTTGTATGTTTGTTTTCTTTTCTCAAATGTAGTCCCCATGGAATTCCCACCAACAACTCATCCATGCACCATCACCACAGTCTCTTGTGCTCTTCTCCCCCCTGTTTTGATCCTTCTTCCTCTCCTTCTCCTGCAGAATGTCTCTGATTTATAGTTTCTTGTTAATTTGTGGGGGGGGGGAGATTATTATTACTTTCCCCCCATTCCTTCATTGGATTCCTCTATATTCCTCCTATTAATGAAACCAAGGGGTGAGAGGATTCATCAGAGACAGAGTGGGGAGCAGAACAGGTGAACTGACTGAAATACACTGCTGAGGGGACAAGTGAGCAAAACAGGAGAGGTCTGCTGCACCATGTGGGTCAGCTCTCTGGCCCCAGATCGAATACATTGCGGCAGTGGCTGTGGATAGCTTCATAGAGTTGTGCTTTAACCCCTTGCAGCACCAAAAAGGTTATATACCCAGTGACATTGTGCTGAGATTTTTCTGCAGAGTCCTTGTACCATGTTCTTAACCACTAAGCTTTCTTGTCTCTTGAAGATGTGGATACAGCTAGCAAAAAAATGCATCATACACAAACATCACTGCTAATACTAGTTGCATGCCTTCTTACATGCATAACCTAATTTAATCTTTGCAATAAACTTATGAATCAGATTTTATTACTATACCATTTTGGCAGGTGCAGAAACAAAGACATGGGGACTTAGTAAGTTGCCTGTAGTCAAGTAAGGATGAAAAGAAACATGGCTTTGGGTGGGAATTCTCCAAAATTTGTCACAAACTTAAAGTTTTAGCAACCTATAATAGTGTATCCACCCCTACATCAGAGTCTAATAGAAAAAATGGGAAAGAAACTGTTTTTGTAAAGATTTACAGGTAATTCCAAGAGGGAAAAAGAAGACATGTTTCTGGAGTAGGAGCCTTTCTTTCTAGATTGTAAGACAACATAAGTTCCCAAAAAAAGTTCCTTTGTACTTTTCTTTATCCAGCATTAATGCAATGAGTTTGGAGAGTCAAGCAGAAAACTTTTGGGAAGATACAGGTCATTGTATGTCATTCACATACATAGAGACCCCTCCAAGAGACTTATTGTGAGCAGCACTATAGCTGAAGCTTGGGCTCAGAAAATCTCACATTAAACTTAATAGAATGACTCTGCACTAATAACATTCCCACTAGATTAGTTCTACAATTCTTTCCAACAGAGGGCCCAAAACTCCATAATTAATTCCACAAAACCAAAACAAAGAGAAAACAGAACTATTTAGGACACCTAAGAACCAAACCCTAAAAAAAAAATTTTAAATATGACCTCTCAGACCAAACTGCAGAAGAATGACAGGAAAAGTTCCCCCACAGAAACTAGGATACCTATTTGAAGGCCCTGGGCTAAGACCAGGAGCCCTAACTATTCTGGAGGGGAGGTCTCAGGTAGCTGAGTGGCCATAGACAAGCTTCATCAGAGATACCTTTGAATGAGTAAATGCTTAGACTCCTAGTTCTTATGCATATAGTTTCTGCACAGGTGAAGTGATAAGATTAGCACTTATGATTAGAAAAGCACGGACTGCAATCTGAGCTTGCAACCACATACTCTGCATGACTATAGACAACTTACTAAGTCCCCATGTCTTTGTTTCCGCACCTGCCAAAATGATATAGTAATAAAATCTGATTCATAAGTTTATTGCAAAGATTAAATTAGGTTATGCATGTAAGAAGGCATGCAACTAGTATTAGCAGTGATGTTTGTGTATGATGCATTTTTTTGCTAGCCGTATCCACATCTTCAAGAGACAAGAAAGCTTAGTGGTTAAGAACATGGTACAAGGACTCTGCAGAAAAATCTCAGCACAATGTCACTGGGTATATAACTTTCTCCACCCTATCTATAAAGCAGAGGGACTGCTGCAACGTTTAATGAGGGTTGGATGAGATACTACGATATAAAGCACTTGGGATGTGCTGTGTTTGCTAAAATTACTAGCATTGCATCTGATTCTCAAAACCAAAAGCTTAAAATTCCTGTCCAGCTAAAAGTTCTATTAGAAATTTTGGGCAGTTCTTTAATAAGAAGAATATATTTTTCATCAGTGGAATGCACACTTGCAAGTTTCAAGTCCGGATTCCTTTATTTCCTAGGTTCTAAGCTAGAGTCCACACCAGGGTATAGGACCTGCATGGTTCCAAATCTAAGACTGATTCCTAGTGGAGAAAGACAGAAAAGAGAACAAAATTGTTAGAAATGGGATGCTGTGCCGTAAGTCTACTACTAGTTCAACCAATAGATGTTAAATGATTGAGTGAATGAAATAATTAACTAAACCCAAAATGAGTATATTACTGAAAGACAGATACTTACCTCTGTTGAAAATGTACAAAGTGTGAAACTGCATTCTTATTTTATAAAGAATGTCATTAGTTATTTTTTGCTAATTTTAAGAGTCCTTAAAATTATATACAAGTTGAGTTCATCTGGATTTAATTAACACCATGGTTGGTATGTCAAAGTAAGTCACCATGAAAAATTGCAGGTTTCAACCAAATCACTTTCTACAAAGACACTAGTTTCCTATAATAAATTTATCATAAATTCATGGTTGTAAGACAAACATTTTTTAAATAATACATAGTTTATTTTTACATCATTTTGCACATTTTTTCACCTCAGTTGTAATCCCCATGGGCTTCCCATCACCAAATCACCCATAGTCCAGTGCATTTCCTTCCCCCCACTGTTTTTGATCCCATTCCCCACTCCACCCCCATAAAATGTCTCTGGTACATAGCTGATCATTATTATTATTTTCGCGCCTGGTCTGTTATACTTCTGCTATGAGTAAAACTATCTGGTACTTTTCCTTTTCTTTCTGGTTTATCTCACTAAGCATGATCTTCTCCAGCTCCATCCATGTCGCTACAAAAGACATGTGTTTATATTTTTTTTGGTTGCTGAGTAATATTCCATTGTGTATATGTACACAATGTATTACTTTTTTTTTTATTAAAAAGTTTATTTTTACAACAATGTATTACTTTTAATCCAGCAATCCACTTTTGGGCATTTGGGCTATTTCCATGTCTTTCTGATTGTAAATAAAGCAGCAATAAACATGGGGGTGCAGGTATCTTTTTCAATCAGTGTTTTTGTGTCTTTTGGGTAGATACCTAGGAGTGGGATTGCAGGGTCATATGAAAACTCCATTTTTAGCAGTTTTGAGGAACCTCCAAACAGTTTTCCATAGTGGTTGTACTAGTTCACATTCCCACCAGCAATGCAGGAGAGTTCCTTTTTCTCCACATCCTCACCAACATTTGTTGTTGCTAGTTGTTTGAAATTGTGCCATTCTCACTGGGGTGAGGTGGTATCTCATTATGGTTTTAATTTGCATCTCCCTTATTACAAGTCATGTTGAACATTTTTTCATATACTTGTTGGCCATCTGCATTTCCTCTTTGGAGAAGTGTCTTTTTAGATCTTCTGCCCATTTTTTGATGGGGTTGTTTATTTTTATTGAGTTTCATCAGTTCTTTGTATATCTTTGTGATCAATCCTTTATCACTCATTTTGTGTGAGAAAATTTTTTCCCAATCAGTGGGATGTCTGCTTGTCTTTTGTAATGTCTCTTTTGCTGTACAGAAGCTCTTTAACTAGATGTAGTCCCAGCTACTTATCCTTGCCTTCACTATTGTTGCATTGGGTGCTGTATCTTTAAAAATGTCGCTGAAGTGTATGCCATGTAGTATTTGGCCCATCTTTGCTTCCAGGTATTTTATGGTTTCCGTTCTTATGTCTAGGTCTTTAATCCACTTCGAGTTGACTTTTGTGTGTGGTGTGAGGTAGTGATCTAGATTCATTTTTTTGCATATAGCTTCCCAGTTTTCCCAGCACCATTTGCTGAACAAACTTTCTTTGTTCCATTGTATCTTCTTTGCTCCTTTGTCAAAGATTAGCTGTCCATAAACCTGTGGGTTTATATCTGGGTTTTCTACTTGAATCCACTGGTCTCTATGTCTGTTCTTGTTCCAGTGCTGTGCAGTTTTGATTATTATGGGTTTGTAGTATAGCTTGAAGTTTGGGATTGTAATGCCTCCATTCTCTTTCTTCTTAGTCATGAGCATTTTTGCTATTCAAGGTCTTTTGTTGTTCCATATGAATCTCATTAATATTTTTTTCTATTTCTTTGAAGAATGATAAGACAAACATTTTTGAACTCTTAAGACAAACCTTCAAGAGAATCAAAATACATAAAGCAGCTATTTAACCTAAAAACAGGCATTGATTTATGTAGTGTCTCTTTTGCTGTTCAGAAGCTCTTTAATTTGATGTAGTCGCAGCTGTTTATCCTATCTTTCACTATCCTTGCTTTGGGTGATGTATCTTTAAAGATGTTTCTGAGGTTGATGTCAATGTAGTGTTTCACCAATATTTTCTTCTAGATACTTTATGGTTTCATATCTTATATCTAGGTTTTTAATACATTTTGAGTTTGTTTTTGTGTATGGTGCATGGTAGTAATCTATCAGACACACATAGTACAAATGATGAGGGACTGATACAAAGATATCCAAGCAGCTGATAAAACTCAACGAATATAAAGTGAACAACCCCATCATAAAATGGGAAGAAAGGCTAAAAAGACACTTCTCCAAAGAGGAAATGCAGACGGCCAACAGGCATATGAAAAAATGTTCAGCGTTTCTTGTAACAAGGAAAATGGTAGTCAAAACCATGAGATACCACCTCACACCAGTGAGAACAGCACATATTTAAAAAAAAAAGCAACAATTAATGTTGGTGAGGGTATGGAGAATGCAACACCCAGCATTCTTGGTGGGAATGCAAACTGGTACAACCACTGTGGGAAGCTGTGTAGAGGTTTCTCAAACTGCTAAAAATGGAGCTTCCATATGATCCAACAATTCCACTCCTAGGTATCTACCCAAAAGACACCAAAAAAACTCAAAAAGACACCTGCTTCCCTATGTTTACGCCACCCCTATGCCACCCTATTTACAATAGGAAAGATGCCCAAAAATAAATGACTGGATCAAGAAGATGTAGTACATATACACAATGGGATATTACTCAACAATCATAAAAGATAAACTCATGCCATTTGCAGCAACATGGATGGAACTGGAAAAGATCATGCTTAGTGAAGTAAGCCAGAAAGAAAAAGAAAAAATACTGGATAGTTTCACTCATAGCAGTAAGGGATCAGGGTGGGGGGCTATCTATATATTTATATAGTAATTGTAATAAAGTAAAAAAAAAAAATCAACTAACACCTATAAACCAGAGACATTCTATGAGAGAGGATAGGGGAACAAGATCAAAACTGGGTGGGACGAGCACATGGGACTATGGTGATGGCACATGGGTTAAATGGTGGTGGGAAGTCCATGGGGATTACAACTGAGATGAAAAAAATGTACAAAACGAAGAAAAATGTAAAAAATGGATTTATAAATAAAATTTAAAAAAACAGACACTGACACCAATGCAATGATAGGAGGGAATTTCAATACCCACTTACCCACCCCCAAAAAGCTTATACACATTCTTCTCAAGTGCACATGAAGGTTTCTCAAGGATAGACCACATACTCGGTCATAAAACAAGGGTCAATAACATCAAGAATATTGAAATCACATCAGTGTCTTTTCTGATCACATGAATATCAACCATGAAAAGAAAGTGGGAATAAACTCAAATAGGTGGAGACTACATAACATTCACCAAATGACTATTGGATTAATGAAGAAATCAAAAGACAAATTTAAAAATTTTTTCACCTGGAGATGAATTAAAATGAAAACACAAACTATCAGAACTTACTGGACACAGCAAAATTCAGACTAAGAGGGACATTTTTTGCAATACAGACTCATAACAAGACCCAAGAAAGATCTCAAATAAATAATCTACCCTTATGCCTTAGAGAATTAGGGGGAAGAGAGCCAAAATCTAGTAGATTGAAGAAAATAATAAAAATGAAAGTGGAAATAAATGAAATAGAAATCAAAAAGACTATACAAAAGGTCAATGAAACTAGGAGTTAGTTCTTTAAAAAGGTAAATTAAATAGACAACCTCAGTCAGACTCACTAAAAAAAAGAGAGAGAAATGAATAAATTTAATCATTAATCATAAATTAAATTGTTAAACATAAATGAAAAGAGAAGTTACAATAGACATCACAGAAAAACTATAAACATCTTTATGTTGACAAATTGAATAACCTGAAAGAAATTCTTAGAAGCACACAATATTCTCTCTCTGAATTAGAGAGAGAAGATTTGAGGAGATCAGTTAAAAGCAAGGAAATGGTAATAGTAGTCAAAAATATCCCCAAAGACATTATGAAGCCATTACTATTCTTATACCAAAGCAGACAAGGATGTTACAAAAAAATAAAAAACCTACCTGTCAATATGTACCAACGAAATTTTGGCAAGCCAAATTCAATAACACATTGAAAAGTTTATACACCATGACCAAGTTGGCATTTATACCAGGAAGCAAGGGTAGTTCAACTTCCACAAATCTATTAATTTTGCTCGCCACATCAACTAAACATAGATGAAAATCACATTATCATCTTAATAGATGCTTCCTCCATGTCAGGGTAATGCTATAAAAATAATGCTCACATTTGGGATCCAATAGTTCCCTTTTTTGAGGGTTTTCTTGTACATTATAAGGTACTGAGCAGCATCCTGGGCTTCTACCCACTAGACATCTGTAGCATCCTGCACCCAATAATGAGTCCCATAATGACCAAAAATGGCTCCAGCCATTACCAATGACTCCAAAGGGCAAAAGTGTCCACAGTTGAAAAAACACCACTTTAGACTGTGACAAAGAACTCTGATCCCCCAACAGAGTAAATTCTTTCAGGCCATCTAGGTACAATATTACCCCCCTTATCTGCACACCTCTCCACCCCTTCACTCTCAGTTCCAATAGTAACCACCCAACTTGCTATCTTTTGCAGATATTACCACCTCTTCAGGGGAAAACAAAGGCAACAAAAAGGTAAGTGGAAGCTGAACCCTGTATTTTCAAAGCCCAAAGTTAGCAAATGAGGGTGAATAATATATTTTATATCTGTAACCTATATTATATCTCATATGCTGATATAATGAATATTATATAATATATATCTATATAATCAAATACACTGTTATTATACATATGTTGTGCTATGTTTAGTATATTGGTTGTTATATTTGATAATGTGTATATACCGATAATACATAGCATTATAAGGTACTGAGCAGCATCCTGGGCTTCTACCCACTAGACATCTGTAGCATCCTGTACCCCATAATGAGCCCCATAATAACCAAAAATGTCTCCAACCATATATAAAATTGCCTGTATGTCACCATATAACTCACCATAGAGATATATTTGTGTATATATGTGTATATGTTGCCTTGTAAATAGAGGATCTAATTCAGACCAAAAAAATACAGGCTAAAAGAGATTGCAATAAGGTATGTTGAGTGCAACAAAAGGTCAAGGAAATTCCTTTTCCCTACACTTTGCTCAACATTCACTTTCAGACCCTCCTGGAAGCTGTCCTAAGCCCCTCCATATGAGTTATTATCCCTTCCATGATGTTCTTAAGGTGGTTGGATATGGAGGTTTGAAGTATAGGTTCAAATCCCAGTCAAAACTATCAAGCCAATCATAGATCTGAGGCATACAGCAAAGAAGAGGGACAGAGAGGGGTCAAAACAAGGAAGGGAACAGCACAAGGGACTGTGATGATGGTTCATTTGTGATATAGTGACAGGAGAACTATGGGGACTACAATAATGCAAGAACAAAGATTTAATTGATTAAAAAAAATTTTAAAGCTATGTTCAGTGCTTAACAAAGAGACCTAATTCAAGGGCCTTTAAAAAATGAAACTTTATTAACTTCTGAGTTAACTGAACTCAGAAGTGAACAGCTCAGGTAGAGGAAGGAATTCTGCTCCTTGAAAGCAATAAGGGCTCCAAGTTCTCTCCATGCTGTTGTTCTACCATCCCCTGGCATCTTGTCCTGTCCAGTTCCATGATCAAAGCTGGTTTGTCACTACCTTACACTTGTATAGGTGAGGAGATGTAGTCCAAGGTAAACTGTCCAGGGGTCAGGGTAATGAAAGTAGGGTGAAAAGGACATCCATCTACTTGCCATATGATTATGCTGATGAGGTTGTGATCATTTCCTTGGAGACATGTCTTCAAGTGACAACCTTGAAGTTGCACATATTATAATCAAGCTTAGTGGCAAGGGACAATGGGACAAAATAGTCTAAAGTTGGGCAGTATGTTCCAGGTAAAATTTGAAGAAATCACTTGATTATTAAAAGGAATAGGAAGATGGATATTAAAAGAGAGAGATAACAAGAAAGTACCTGGTAGGTAATAATTTAGTATCTGTAAAACAACTCTGAATTTTAGCAAAGGGAAAGGTCTACAGCTCTAAGCACCTGTAGTCTAACAAAATAGATTCTTCCCTTCCTCTTCCTGCTCCACACCCTTACCCCTTGTTGTAACAGAGGGGTTGTTTTTGCCTGGCTCTCTCCAACTCCAAGATTCCAAATATGTGCTCTACCAGAAATTCCTTTTCCCTACCCTTTGCTCAACATTCACTTTCAGACCCTCCTGGAAGCTGTCCTAAGCCCCTCCATATGAGTTATTACCCCTCCATGATGTTCTTAAGGTGGTTGGATATGGAGGTTTGAAGTATAGGCAGGGGTTCAAATCTCAGAACCACAGAGTCAATTGACATAACCTTTCTGTATTAGGGTCTCTGGGAAAAGAGAACAATAGAAGATATAGCTGTAATTAGATATATTCTAAGGAATTGCCTCATTGATTTTAGAGGCTGACAGGCCCCAAGGTCTGCAGTTGGCAAGATGGAGGACAAGAGAGCTGGTCTTAGTGCAGTCTGAGTGAAAGGAAAACAATATCCCACCTCAAAGCAGTCAGACATACAGAAGGAAATTCCCTCCTACTCAGACATTTTTCTCTACACAAACTTCTCATGTCATCCCCATTTATCTACTCAGATATTGATTTCACCCAGAAGCACCCCCACACACACACCCAGAATGGTGGTTGACCAAAGAGACAGGAACTCTGTGGCCCAGTCAAGTTGACATAGAAAATCAACCATCACACCCTCCAAAAGGGGGCAAGAAATTAGCACCTACTCTACACATGGATTTAAACCAAGAAAACTTCAGCTATAATTAAAAGCAGACATTTTCTATTTCTGGGAGCAAGTAGGGAGGGAGAGTTTACATCTAAACTCAGATCAGAATTATCACACAACCTCGATAGACTCGATAGAATGTCTGAAAGGCTTATTGCAGCTCTGAAAGTTCCTAAATGTTGTGCAGCATCTCTGGCCTCTAGCCCATAAGGCAGTCCCTCACCGATGGCAATCACAGATATCTCCAGACATCATCAAGTGTCTCCTGGGAATGGAGGAGACCCACTGGTCTATTTCCCTCAACTTTACCATTTCCCTGTTGATTAAAGATATTCATTACAACTAGCCCTTATCTGGTGTTTTGTAGGCATAGACTCTATTCTAAAACACATAGAATCTCTTAACTCATTTTAATCTTCCCTAAAACTCTGTGGGGTCTTATTATTGTCTCCATTCTAAGTTGGAGAAACTGAGGCACAAAAAAATTGAGAGACTTTCCCAAGGTCAAGAGGCTTGCTTCAGAGCCCGCTTTCTCATGTTTTTCTATAAACTTTCAAAGATGTGGGATCTATAAATTGGATCTGTGTTACTCTTTATATCTTCAAAGTTGGAACAGGTCATTGAATCTGTTGCACAGCAGATCAGAAAGAACATGACTCTGTGGGAAAAGAGAGAAAAGAAGGAAGTGGCTACCAAGATCACAAATATTCTCCTGAGTATGGAAAATAATGTTCTAGAGGCTGTCTTGAAAACCCCAGAGCAAGAAATCCAGGAAATTGAAAACATGTCTATAGGTAAGGAGATGATTAGGCCTGGTACACACAGAGGGCTGATTAGCATTTGGGGTCTGGGTTAAGTAATCAAAAATAAGTGCTTACTCACACCTATGTGAGTCCATCTATATAGAATTCTAGAAAAATACAATCGATTGATAGAAAGGGGAGGGCAGAAAGAATGAAAAGAGTGTATGGAAGGAATTTGGGAAACTGCTGGGAGTGATGGAATGTCCACTACCTTGATTAGTTTCACAGATATGTACACAGACAAAGCTCAAGAAATTGTCACTTATTGTACTTTTTTTTAATTGACAATGGTTTTGAATCCTGAGTCTGGGATTCTGGCTTAAAGGTCATTGTCTGTTTTTTAATCTAGTGCCTATATAACTAAATAGCACCTGTCACAGTAATGCCTCTGGAAGGAATATCTTACTATATCATTGAAAAAGAAAGCCAATTTTTTTATAACTACATGAAAAGATGGTATATTCATTAATTTGACTGTGATATTCATTTTATTATGTATATTTGTGTCAAATTACCTTATTAAATAGCTTAAGTATATGCAATTTTTTTAATTTATTTTCATTTATACATACAAAAACTGGTATATAGGCCAGAGATGCAAGAGATGATAGGATTCACCAGAGGCAGGATGGGGAGCAGAACAGGCAGGTCTACTGAAGTACACTGCAGAGGGGAGTAGCAGAAGAGACAGGAGAGCTCTGCTGTGCCATGTGGGTCACCTCCCTGACGGGGGATTGAACTTGTGCTGCAGTAGCTGCAGATAGCTTCATAATGCTGCACTTCAACCCATTGCACCACCCATTGTGGAGGTTCCACAAATTTTATTTTTAAGAAATACCATTAAAAAATTGAATATCCGGGCCCTCCCTGGTGGCGCAGCGGGTTAAAGCACTGCACTGAGAAGCTAAAGCCACTTCCGCATGAGTTCGATTCCCGCCTGCCCTGGAGGTGACCACATGGTGTGGCAGACCTCTCCTGACCCACCCGCTGCTCCCCTCAGCAGTGTGCTTCGTCGATCTGCCTGTTCTGCTCCCCACTCTGTCTCTGGTGAATCCTCTCACCCTCCACATCTCTGGCCTGTACCCCAGTTCTGTACAAATAAATAAATAAATATTTAAAAAAAATTGAATATCCATTTTTTAAATTAGAAAAGCACATACAGCCAAAATTAGATAAGCCAACTATGCCCACAGTACTGTCTTCCAATCCTACATTGATGTAGGTGTGTGTTTGAAGAGACACATTTGTTGTGTTGCTTTATGATTGTCCAACCTGCTTGTTCACTCATTACATTACCTACATCTTTACATCTAAGCTGTATACAGATTCATGACCTAGTTGTTCTGTAATTTATTGAGTCACTGTGATTTATTTCCCTATTTTGGGAAACATAGGCTGTGAAACACACAGAATTGTGATAAAGACCACTAAAAATTGATCCTGTGTTTGTCTTTGATATTTCCTGCTATAAATTTATAGAAGAAAAATCTTTTTTCAAAGGGGAAAAAACACTTTGTAGACTTTTGATACACATATATTTAATACAAATATTTTGATACTTATAATTGGATGCTATGTTAAACCCCAGAAATGCTGTTAACTGTACCTTTGTTCCGTTTGGGGACTCGGATATGCCTAGCTAATCATTTTGTTTACCAGTGCTCATGATAAAATACTTTACTCTGTATAAAAATAAAAATCAAAAGTTAATTTAAGAAATATGGGGCATCCGGCCCTCCCTGGTGGCACAGTGGGTTAAAGCACAGCACTAAGAAGCTTAAGCCACTTCTGCATGAGTTCGATCCCCTCCTGCCCCAGAGGAGATCCACATGGTGTAGCAGACCTCTCCTGACCTGCTCACTGCTCCCCTCAGAAGTGTACTTCATCCATCTGCCTGTCCTGCTCCCTACTCTGTCTCTGGTGAATCCTCTCACCCTC